ACCAATGACAGCAAAACAAAAATGGCTTTAAGCTTGATGTTGTTTCTTAAAAACCTTTTCTAAAGATTAAAATGTGACTAGTTTTTTTGGTCAAAGAAAAACACACTAAAAAACACACAAGCAGTGAATTCATTACTTAGTGATAGAAACAGTAACAAAATGTATTCAAGAGCCAACTACATGAATCTTTTCAGCTAATACAGTTTTCTGAAATTCCCTTGAAAATTCCCATACTTTGTTACATACTATTATTCAAAGTCCAGCCCTTGAATAAATGACCCACAAGACCAAGTATACCACTGCCTTCTGCGGCCCAGCAATAAAATTCAAGTAGGCAATTATTAAGAGTTGTTCAGGGGCTGGGAGTATAGTTCAGTGGTACAGTACATGCCTAGCATGAGTGAGGCCTGGGGTTAAATTCTCACCACACCAAAAATAAATCCAAACCTCCTTCAATATAAGTGAGAGTGATAATGTCTTACGCTAAAGTTCTTGTGTAAGATATGTCAGTGAAAGTGATAATGTCTCACACTAAAGTTGATGTGTTTATGCTAAAGACCTTTAACCTACTCAAAAAGTAATTAGCATTTCTTATTTTCATCTAAAAGTAGAGAGTTGGGCTGGGGAGATAGCTCAGCAGCTTAAGTGCCTGCCTGCCAAGCTCAAGGTCCTGAGTTTGACCCCCAGTACAACCAATCAATCAATGTAGAGGATCAAGTTCTGAGCAGCAGAAGAGATATGAAGGCAAAGAAGACAGGGGTCCTTCTCCAAAGAACTGATGGTGTATATGGAGATACAGTAAATGACAGAATACACTAGATCTAAACAATATCTTAGAGGTATGAGGCGAATGCTATTAAAGCCAGACAAGAGAAATACTAAAGCCTGCTTTGATCACTGAGTTTCTACATATGATCTACACCTTTAAAACAGGATGAGATACCCAAAACAGAGAAGTCATTCCAAAAAGGACAAGGGCTACAGAGGACATGGGCTGTCTGGTGCAGGTGGAAGACACTAGGGGCTCAAACTGAGCTCAGGAGAGAGAATTCAGTGAAGACCAGACTTTGCGGGCCTTGATGGGCACTGTACTTATGTAATTCCTATGTCATGGGGTCTCTGGAGTCTTTTTTGAAGGGCAGAAGGAACATGGTTTGATCAGCAGGAAACTGGTCATCATGGGTGACAATGGATATCTTATGAGAGACCCCCGTGAAGTGCAGAGAACAAATAGTAAGCACCCAAGTCTTAGCTGTTGCAGGGCGAAGGAATGGGGAAGAAAATGTGCAGAGGTTAGTGTTTACCTAGGACAGAGGAGTAGAGGACAGGGCCAGCATGGGGTGAAGGGCTAATGGGGCTGATTCACACAGCATAAAATGGCAGGGAAATGCAGTGTTAGTAAGGGGCTGTGCAGGAGAAAGAGCAGTGAATGAGCACTCTGGAGGGGCTGGCAAGGACCAGCAGATGAAAGGGAAGTAGGCATTACAGGGACCAGCCTGATCTGCAAGTCTGTCTGATGGGAAGGGAAGAAGCAAGGGCTGTCAAGGCAGGCTTCTCGCTGCCTGGCTACTGCTTTCTTTTTTTTCTTTTTCTTTTTCTATTTTGGTGGAAGCAGGGATTGAACTCAGGCCCTTGCAGTTGCCAGGGAAGTTCTTATTCCATTGAGCCATCTCCCTGGACCCTTGACTACTGCTTTCCATGCATCCTCACTTAAGCATCTCAAAATGCCCACAGTGTGAGCCATGCCAGTTGGAAGGAGATGAAGGCAGAGATGAGCAATGTGCCTTCATCAGGAACCTGGCTTGGAGTCAAGTTTCAATCCCACAGGGACACCCTTAACCCCCAAGCTTCCACAGGATATACATAGAAGGACAGAGGTGTTTGAACTTTTTTGTGAAAATTCAGAATGGAAGTTTGGGGATTTTTTTTGTTTTATCATTTCAGGTGGATAGTCTTCTCAAATGAAGTAAATTAGTTTCAACAATGACTCTTGTGGACACCAGCAGTTAGAGCACATGTGATACATCTCAGTTTATGAACTCAGTCCTTTCCATGATCCTGGTCATAAACTGAATTGGATGAGAACTGAATCCAATTTTCCCATGAAGTCAACATCAAGCCTAATCACTGAATTGGATTTGGTTCTCATCCAACTTGGTTTACCACTAGAATTGTGGAAAGAATCAAGTTTGTGAACTGAGGTACCACTGAAATTTTTTTAATTGGCTTCAAGGTCTCACTATGCAGTTCAGAATCATAGTGATCCTCCTGTCTCAGTCTCCCCAGCGCTGGGATTACAAGTATGTGCCACCACCCTCGGTTTTGGTGACCAGCATAGCATGCAGTACTAGAGATCAAAGCCAGGTTCTTGCATGTTTGCCAGGCAGGTGCTTAGACCACCAAGCTATCTCCCAGCCTTTTTTTTTTTTTTTTTTTTTTTTTTTTTTTTTTTTTTTTTTTTGTCTTTTTTGAGACAGGATCTCACTCTGCAGTTCAGGCTAGACTTGAGCTTATTTTATAGCCCAGGCTAGCCTTGAACTCACAATGATCCTCTTGTCTCAGACTCTCAAGTGCTGGGATTACAGGCATGTGCCACCATACCTGGTGGTACTACTGAACTTTGTATTTGGTTTTTAGTTAGAGTATGGTATCTATTATTGGCTTATCATTACACAACAGCATTTCAAAATTAAAACAAATTCACAGTGCTTTATAGAATTTTATTTATTGTGATACCAGGGATTAAAGCCAGGGCTTTGCACTATATACATATTCAATCCCTTTTTAAAATTTTTTATTGTGAGATGAGTGGCTGGGGAGATAGCTCAGTAGAATAAGCACCTGCCTGGCAAGTGCAGGATCCTTAGTTCAATCCCTAGTACCATCAAAAAAAAAAATTATTCTGAGATGGATTCTTACTAGGTTCCAAAGTTGCCAGATGGCGATCAAAACATGATCCTCTTGCCTCAGCTTCTCCAAGTGCTGGGATTATAGGGTGCTGCCATCATAAGTAATTTTTTTAATGAAAAGTATGTTGCTCCCTATCTGTGCTTTTCTCAAAATCAATGAATATTATTTCAACATCACAAAAGTAATATACAACTTGACGATCTGACTATATCTGTGCCATGTCCCAGAACACTGCTAGCCCTGGGCTTTTCACTTTGAAGATTTAAGTTAGAATCTAAATGCATGCAGAAAATGCTTCCTGAACCTCTGTTCTCTCTCCACAGAGGCACTTTACCACCTGCAGCAATGGGGCCCGAGGGGCAAGCGGGGAGCCCTACCTGAGTGCGTGGTTTCTCGCCAAGCTTGGCTGACGCTCTTGTAACATTTCAAAAATGTTTGGCTGGCGAAGAAATGCCACAATCTTGTCATTATATGCTGAAATAGACAAAAGCGCAGAGTTGTGCTTCAGTCTGTAGCTCAGAGATAATTTCTCTGATGTCTGGAAACAGTCTGCTTGATCCTGGAATCAATGTGGCACTTTGAAGGGCTCATGAAAACATATAAGCTCTTGCTTTTTCAAGTGCGACAAATGGCATTATTATTTCTGAAAGATCAAACTAAAGGTGAATGAAGTCTAAGTGATCATGCATGGTATGTCCGGTACTTTGCTAGGTGTTAACTAATCTCTGTGTAAACAGGTAAAGGAGGATAATGTAGCTTCCTATGAGAGGCAGTCTCCACACTTCTAAGTTTTCTTGGTTCTCTTGCCACCGTTGATTTGACAGAGGATTCTTCATGAGCTTAAAGAAATCCTTCCTGAGCACTTGACCCAACCTATGGCCAAGTGTCTGTTTCCCTATTGTAATGGTGGAAATACCAGTGATTCAGATTCACTTGCCTTGTTTCCCTTGAGACCATGGCCTGTGTTCCAGAAATAGGCAGCTGAGGTTAGGAAGAAGCACTGTGCTAGCTCTCCCCATACATATGGGAAACAAAGGTGTAAACTAAAAACTGCATCTTGAAACAGTGAAGTCCACTGCCCTATTCAAACTATTCTCTTCTGGATGGAGCTGACAAATTCATAGAATGAAGAACAGGACCTGAGGGTCTGGGAAGAGTAGAGAAAGTGGGGAAGGGAAGAGAAAAGGGACATCAGGCAATGGGAGTGAAAGAGTAGGGAGGAAGCAAGAATACATACATACCCAGAGGCAATGACTCATGTTGATGTTGGCTTCGAATTGCAGCTACCAGGCTGTGTCCTGGCCTGGCCAGTAAAGAGGCTCCTCTGTTTCTAGAAACTTCTGAGGCCTAATTTCAAGATAAAAAGCATAAGACTGAAAATCTGTCATCAATTTCAAATGATCTTTTTGTAACAATTTTTCAAGATGAGTGGTAAGTAATGCTATCAACTAAGTTTTGTAAAAACGTAATGAAGTTACAATCTTCCAAGTAATGAAAAAACATACAACCTTCTTTAAAAAAATGGCTGACTGATGTGTTATATTATGGTTAAGAAAGTGATTGTGTCAAAGGTCATGGGTGTTATTAAATTAATACACTGAATAGACCCAGACACAGCTCTTTTCAGAACTTTCTGAGTGATAAATTCCATATAAATAGCATCCTTTCCAAAAGCTGGCAATGAACTTCTGTGATATGGATTTGCTCTTACAAAAAGTGTTGGAAGTGTTGGCAACTCTCAGAGGGACCCTCTGTTGAGCAGCTATGGTATCAGAATAGAAAACTTAACCTAACTTAAAACTTGTGGGATTCGTTAAATTTTGAAGTTGACATTCTGAGTATCTTGTATCCTTACAAATTTTGCAAGAGAAGCATGATGAAACCAAATTTATAAATACAGAATCTGAAGTTCCAAGAAAAGAAAGTGTCCCCCAATTCAAAAACCCTAAGAGAGAGAACCAGGTTCCTAACCAACATGTGGCTGTAAAGCACTTGTTGATACCAATGGCGCTACTAGACTTCATCTAGCACCTTGGTTTTGGCTGAGCATTTGTGAAAAGACTTCATGGGATGAATAACTTGTGTAGTCTAAAATTGGTACATGTTGCTGGGGAGATAGCTTGGTGGTCTAAGAGCCTGTCTGGCAAGCTCAAGGACCTGGGTTCAATTCTTGGTACCACATGATGTGCCACCCTGCCAGCCACTGAAACCTGGTGTGGTGGCACATGCCTGTGATCTCAGCATGGGGGAGGCTGAAAGAGGAGGGTTACTATGAGTCTGAGCTGCATAGTGATACCCTGTACTAATTAATTAATTAATTAATTAAAAAATAAAATTGGACAGCAAAGCATCAAGAAGATCATACACCATGACCAGGTAGGATTCATTCCAGGGATACAAAGATGGTTCAATATTCAAAAATCTATAAATGTAATACATTATATCAATAGAGCGAAAATTAAAAACCACAAGATCATCTCAATTGATGCAGAAAACGCTTTTGACAAAGTCCAAAACTCATTTATGTTCAAAGTCCTACAGAAATTGGAATAGATGGCTTCTACTTCAATCTGGTAAAAGCCATTTATGAAAACCCAATGGCAAACATAATTCTAAATGGGTTAAAAAATGAAATCATTTACTCTTAGATCTGATACAAGACAAGGATGCCCTCTATCACCACTCCTATTCAATATAGTTCTGGAATCATTAGCTACAGCCATTAGACAAGAGAAAGAAATAAAAGGAATAAGAATAGGTAAAGAAGAAGATAAATTATCATTATTTGAAGATGACATGATACTTTACTTAGAAGACCCAAAAAACTCCACCAAGAAGCTACTAGAATTAATACAGAAATTCAGTAGCATAGCAGGTTATAAAGTCAATACCCAAAAGTCAATAGCATTCCTCTACACAGACAACAAACACACTGAGAGGGAAATTATAGAAACAATACCTTTTACAATAGCACCGAGGAAAATGAAATGCCTTGGAATTAATCTAACTAAAGAAGTCAAAGATCTTTTCAAGGAAAATTACAGTACTCTTAAAAAAGAGATTGCAGAGAATTTCAGAAAATGGAAAGATATTCCATGTTCCTGGATAGGAAGAACCAACTTTGTGAAAATGGCCATACTCACAAAATTACTGTACAGATTTAATGCAATCCCTATGAAACTACCACCAGCATACCTCAGAGCTAGAGAAATCATTCTTAAAATTTATTTGGAACCAGAAAAGACCTAGAATAGCAAAGTCAATCCTGGGCAATAAAAACAAGGCAGGAAGCATTACAATTCCTGACTTGAAATTATACTACAAGGCTACTGTGATAAAATCAGCATGGTATTGGCAAAATAGCAAAATAGACCCGTGGATCAATGGAATAGATTAGAAGACACTGAAGACCCTACACACTCAGTCACCTTGTCATTGACAAAGGGGCAAAACATACTCACTGGAAGAAAGATAGTCTTTTTAACAAATGGAGATGGAAACACTGGCTGTCTACATGCTGAAAACTAAAACTTGACCCAGGTCTATCACCATACACTAAGCTAAAGTCAAAATGGATTAAAGATCTAAACATTAAAGCAGAGACACTAAATCTCCTGGAAGAGAAAGTAGGAGGAACTCTTGAAGACATAGTGGTAGGCAAAGAGTTCATGAACAAAAATCAAATAGCATGGGAAACAGTTGAAAGAATTAACAACTGGGACCTCCTCTTACTGAGAAGTTTTTTCACATAAAAAAGAAATTACCAACAAAGGGAAAAGATAACCCACAAATTTGGAAAAAATCATGACGAATAAGTACTCAGCAAAAGGTCTGCTCTCTAGAATTTGTAAAGAACTAAAAAACACTAGGACCCCAAAATTTAAAGACCCAGTCCAGAAATGGGCATCTGAGATGAACATCTACTTCTCAGGGGATGAAATGAAAGAAGTGAATAAATATATGAAAAAATGCTCCACATCACTAGCCATTCGTGAAATGCAAATTAAAACAACATTGAGATATCATTTCACCCCAGAAAGAATGGCTATCATAAAGAAATCAATCAACAACAAATGTTGGAAAGGCTGTGGGGAAAAAGGGACCCATCTCCACTGCTGGTGGGAATGTAGACTGGTGCAACCATTATGGAAATCAATGTGGAGACTCCTTAGAAAACTTGTACTGGAAATCCCATTTAAATCAGCCATTCATCTACTGGGAATTTTCCTGAAGGATCTAAAAACATCATATCATAGTGATATATATGTGCCTATATTTATAGCAGCACAATTTGTGATAGCCAAATCTTGGAAACAACCAAGATGCCCATCACCTAGGGAATGGATGAAAAAGATGTAGTATTTTTATACAATGGAGTATTACTCAGCTATAAAGAATGATAGACTGAAAGCCTTTACATTGAAGTAGATGCCACTTAAGATATACTCATAAGTGAAATAAACCAGACACACATGTATAAATACCATATAGTTTCCCTAATATAAGAACTCAAAAGAAGAAATCCAAATACAAAGGTATAATACAAGTAAAAGAAAGCAGGATCTCGAGGACTAACTAATCAATAGAAGGAAAAGAGAAGAGCCAGGAAACACGACAATGTCAAGCCATACAGTTTTATGTAGGAGATGGGCAAGGCAATGATCCTGAGAATCCTCAGAAGATTTTTTAATCTAACAGTTAATTGCAAAGATTCTCACCCTGACTAATTGTATATACTGATACCTGTGAACTAAGCAACTGCCCTGAAGATGGCAATTTGTAATAGTAACTTCATCCTTGGAGTGCCTGTCATTCTGGTCTTCTGAATATGGGCTACTTGTCATGATATGCCAGTTGCTGCTGTGCTGTCTCTTGGGTAGATGATT